TGTGTGCCTCGTTTCCTCTCTTTAACTAGGTAAGGGAATATGGCTGAGGATCTTTCTGTGTGGCCAACACCAATTTCTTTACCATCAATGTGGATATTATATTTTCACATCTCCCACCGTCGATAATCAGACTAAAAACTTACACTTGGTGCTAAAGATAGTGCCTTAGCCATGGTTAATCTCTCTCTGGCTTCATCTACAAGATTTTCTATATGACTAAAATCTCTCCATCGTCGTCCTAGAGCCGAAGTTTTTCCTCTTGATTATCCTCTGATTCCTCTTCCCTCCGCTTCCTCGACAACGCTCTGCTTTGTGAATGAAACAACTCGACAAGTGGGACAGCTAAAGGCGGTGTCCTGTTAGAAGTTATGAGGTGTAAATTTATTTCCTTGTATTGGAGTTATTTTCTTTCATTTTATGTTTTATGTTCTTTCCTATTTTATGTTTTATGTTGTTTTCTTTATCTCCAAGTAATTAATATGAATTGATTAATTAGAGATATATGTGTTTCTTTCTTTTTATTTTTTTTATTGTATTTCTTATTTTAGGATTTATGAAGAGTTTTATACTCCCCTTTTATATCAATAATATTATTCCGAATTATTATGAATTTAACATTGTATCAGAGCCAAATTTCCTATCTTAGTCGTCGGTGCTTCTTCCAGATTCGCTAGACTCCCTTCTTGTCATCCTCCTTGCGGGGAGGCACGCTCTTCTCTTGCCTCAGCTACCGAGACCGAGATTGTCCCTTGAAATGGTGACTTCTGCTTCTTCTCTGGTAGCAATCAACACCAATTAACTTCCCAAATTGTCGCAAGCCCATCTAGAGTCTTTAGCCAGCAGGCCCTCGCTGCAGGAACCCGTTGTTGGAGTCAACCACTGCGGACTACAATCCTTCTCTATTCCCAAATCCCGCTTTCACGTGAAAGTGAATCTGCAGGGAACTTCCTGCGAGTCTGTGAAAGCATCTCTCGGAAACTTCCTGCAGACTCGTGAATCTCCCAACATATTCAACGTGGCTTCCCTGCAGCTTCCTCATGAGAATACTTGAAGGAAAATTCCTGCAACTGGCCCAACCTTTCCACCAGCTGGCTAAATTTCCTTCCAGTAGTTTTCCTCCCTATAACTCTCTCTCGTGGAGATTTTCCCAACAGTTTGCTTCCCAGCAGCTCTTTTCTCCCGTGGAGATCTTTCCAATAGGTTTTCTCCCGTTTGGTTTTTCTTATGTGGAGAAAAATTGTAGGTTTTCTCCTGTGGAGATTCCTGAAGTCAGATCTATCCCCTCCTCCCACTGTCAGCTCTTCCTCCCGCGTCCTTTCCCGTCGTCAGAACTACATTCTGCAGATTTATCAGCCACCAAAACCTTCTCCTGTGACCGGAAAAAAAAATCATCTCCTTCTTGCAGGCTTCCTTAATTGAGACGCATCTTCCTGCGGTCTTTCCACTGCGCATCTAGATCTCCTTCTTGTTAGTGCTGGAATTTCCTATAAGCAGCCGGAACTTTTATCGACAGTCCCCATCCTCTGCAGACCCTCCTCAGCTACTCATCATGGATGAAACAACATCAGGTCTTGATGCAAGGGCAGCTGTCATTGTCATGAGAATGGTAAGAAACAGTGTCAACACATGAAGAATTGTTGTTTGTACCATCCACCAGCCAAGCATTGACATATTTGAGTCCTTTGATGATTTACTTTTACTGAAAAAAGGGGGCCAAGTAATTTTTTATGGACCGTTGGGCGAGAATTCTCAGAAGCTAGTAGAATATTTTGAGAAAATTTTCTGAGTACATAAAATCGATGATGGAGCCAACCGAGGTGTGGATGCTGGAAACAAGTTCTGCCTCCGCAGAAGGAAAACTAAAAATCGATCTTGAGAGACAAATTTTCTCCACTGCACAAGCAAAATGCAGCATTGGCTGGAGAGCTTAGCAAACCATTACCGGGTGCATCTGATCATTCCTTCTCAACTGAATGTTTGCAATCCAGTTATGACCAATTCAAAAATCTGTGTATGGAAGTACTGGTCAATATATTGGAGGTGTTCGGAGTACAATCAAGCAAGACTTGGCATGGTCTTTGTGAGCGCACTAGTGCTAGGCTCAATTTATTAGAAAATTGGCCTGCGCAGGGATAATTCAAAAGAGCTAATGTCCGTCATCGGAGCAATGTTCTTTCTGTAGAATTTATGAGCTTTGCTAGTTGCTTTACAGTACAGTCATGCTCTACTGATTCCTTCGCACATTTTCCTGCAGCAAACCCTCCTCCGAAATCTCTCTTATAGTAGACCCTCTCCTAGAGCTTTTTCACTGTGAACTAAATACCCTTGGGGTTGATTATCAAGTACGGGACAAAGACTTCACAAAGAATTTCGCCTATTATTTTATGTTTTCAAATCCAAGTTGAACATGATTTACAACCATGTTTCAACTTGAGGGAGAGTGTTAGAAGTTATATTAACAATTAATTTATTATTGTTACAAGTTACAAGGATTAAACTTTTTTCCTTAGATTTAAGTTATTTCCTTTTTTATTTATGCTTTATGTTGTTTCCTTTATCTGAAGTAATTAAAATGAATTGATTAATTAGAGATATATGTGTTATATCTTTTCTTGTTATTTCTTTTTTTTATTGTCTTCCCTATTATAGGATTCATTAAGGGTTATTTATGTCCTGTTTCAAATCAATAATATTATTCTATATTATTCTGAATTCAACTATAATATAGAGAGAGAGAGAGAGAGAGAGAGAGAGAGAGAGAGGAGAAAACACAATAAAATGGGAGAGCTTGGATTTTGTTGTTTGCGAGTGAAGAAGGCGTGAGGCTCGCTCAGGTTGGGTTCACGAGTAAGGCAGGGATCAAGGCATTGCGATGAAATTTGGAGAAAAGCTAGGGTATTGGTCTGCTCTGGCTATCGCGTCAAACACAAATGGCTGGGTTAAGCGAGGGTTTGTGCTAGCAGAGAAACAGGATTTGAACAAGAAAGGGGCGGGCAACCAGGTTGGGTTCTGCAAGCGAAAGGAGAAAGTAGAATTTTGAAGGTTATTGTACGCTGAGATATTGTCGTTGGCGGCAAAGTGAAGTTGCTCGTCTCCTGGAAAAAGAACTTTTCAGCTTTTTTGCGTCAGACAAGCACAGGGAAATTGCTGGAGGGCTGCAATCAAAAAGAATTTCCAGAAATTTTTGCTGCAGCTATCCCGCCTCTGCCTTCTCATTGGCATCTGCATGGACAAACTTAGGCACCAGTGTCCAATTCTTGCTTTTTGCGTGAAGGACAAACATACAGGTCTGAACAGGAGCTTCTAAGGTCTCTATATGCCACTATCTCTTTGTTTCTAGTCGCACTAATTCCAATCGCGGCTATATGAGAGGAATGGAGGCTATGTGGTTTTCGTCTTCGAACAGAGAAGCTTTGGCTTTGGTCGTTTAATGGTTTGTGCGTGGTGGAGAGTTGAGCTGCTGGGTTGATCGCAAGAGAAAAGGCTGCGGTGTTGAATGGGGAATTCAAAGGTCTACACACACCGCAATTGAGTCATTGCTTTTCTCTCTAGTTCTAGTCGCGACTATATTGCAAGAGGATTAACTCTGGCTTTGCTATTCACTGGGACAGGGACCAAGTGGAGTTCGAACAGAGAGAAGTAAAATATGAGAAGAGGGTTTTTCTATTTTCTGTTTCGTGCCTTTCGAACCTCAACAAAGAAATTTGGCTATCTCGTGAGAGAGAATGGAGCGGGATCAGTTTTAAAAACTGAACGTGAAAGAGGCGGGAGCAGAGTTTTAACTTAATTTTATTTATTTATTTATTTATTTTTAATGGTCAACATATTAAATCAACCTTGGTTGTATATACTGTTGGGGGATTGAAATTGCATAAATAGATTCAAGAAATCCGAAGCAATGTGGATATACAACACCCTAAGTGGCTTACGTGATACTGTCGTCTTTTGTAATTGTTTGATGGACGAGTAAATGATTCAAGTGTGATGTCAAATTATCCGTGAATAGGGCCTGAGTTGATTGTTAGATGACTTCTTAGTCCTATCATTTTTCGAATTGCAAGATGGCTTAGACGGGCTGCTGTGCACCTCAGGCAAATTGATGAGCTATTGATGCCACATCTCCAGCTCAGGCTGAGCTGGCCTTAACTTGGAACTGGCCTGAGTTGATCCATGAACCATTTTGACGCGTTTTGATCTTACTGACTGGTTTTTGCTTGCCACAGTACAAGAGATGGGCACCTTTTTTTTTTCTGTTTATGAGATTAAATTACAATATTCTTTTGGTGCTCTATTAAGAAAAATATTTTTAGTATTAAGGATTTGCCCTTTACAGCGTCTATAGATTCAAGAATGAAGGTTGCTAATAACTTTGCTTGTGAAGCCATGCAACAAATTACCTTTTCAAGTTACAGCAAACCATTTACTATTTTATTTATTTGCAGTCATTTTATAATATATAGTAGTTCTGTATTGAATGAAATAAAGTCGCCTCTACTAGATGTATAAATCTTGGAATGGAGAAGTGCAAGCATAGCGGGTATGGATTCCCAACACTTGCTGTTAGCACAAATCAAAATTACTATGTGGTTAAGTTATGAAGAGTAACAGTTGGGATTCATTCCTAATGAAGCCTTCTAATATGCTTTTGCCTAATATTTTGAAATTCAGAAGAATAAAAGCCTACAAATTTAAGAATTATTTTCTTACCTTGAATTGAATGAATTTCCTATAGCATAATGCCTTGAAAACTATTGAGATATTAAATTAATAATTCAAAAAGGAGAAAGATGAAGCATCAAATCCTTCCCCAGCCCGGGGAGTTACATGCATTGGGTATGCCTATTATGATCCTGAAAGATAAAGTTAATTAGTTTTGTCAAGTCTAATGCTTATGGGTTTCTTTCTGAATCTGCTAATGCACCGAAGAAAGCAATTATTAAAGATGCCCTAGCTTGTTGAATAGATTGAATCAATAACTTTTACCACCTTTTTTAATGCAGGCCAGCCAAAGAGACATCTCCTCACAACTGGATGGAGTGTCTTCGTAAGTGCAAAGAGACTTGTTACAGGAGATTCTGTCCTTTTTATCTGGTAATAATATCCACCTAACATATTTTACTCTAATTTATTTCCTATTGGTTTTCTGACCTATTCATTCCCATCTGCTTATACTGATTTATTTTGCCCATCAGGAATGAAAACAATCAGCTTCTTCTTGGCATCAGGCGTGCCAATCGCCCACAAACAGTAATGCCTTCATCAGTTATTTCAAGTGATAGCATGCACATAGGTCTTCTTGCTGCAGCTGCTCACGCTGCTGCTACCAATAGTCGGTTTACTATATTTTATAACCCAAGGTATAAAATAGTTCATTGATATTAATTTAACTTATATTTTCCAGAGGATATACATCATCTTTCTTTCAGGGCATGCCCATCTGAGTTTGTTATACCACTAGCAAAGTATATTAAAGCAGTCTATCATACTCGTGTTTCGGTGGGTATGAGATTTAGAATGCTCTTTGAGACTGAAGAGTCAAGTGTGCGAAGGTATGGCGGAGATAAATTCCTTTTTTATTATAGTCCAACATGCTTGATTGCGTATGAAAACAAAGCTTCATGTTCGTATGAAAACAAAGCTTCATGCATGTTTTTTTTTTTTTCCTTCTGCTTTAAAATGCGCTCCTGTCATTTACTTGACATGTAGCTTAACACACTGAAGGGTTCATATTGTATCACAGTTTTTTACTTTCTTTCAGATACATGGGCACAATCACCGGCATAAGCGATCTGAATCCAGTGCACTGGCCAAGTTCTCATTGGCGTTCTGTCAAGGTAGAATATGTTTCTCTTCCTCGTTAGAAATATATGGCATATAATAAGTAAATTCAATCTTCATCTCTCAATCTTGCATCAGATGCTGTAATTCAGTTGCTGTTGATTTTGACATACCTTAGTGTTATGATTTTTAAACATGTCTAATTGGATGTAGGTTGGCTGGGATGAATCAACTGCTGCTGAGAGACAACCAAGGGTATCCCTTTGGGAAATTGAACCTCTAACTACATTTCCAATGTATCCCTCTCCTTTCTCTCTCAGGCTTAAGCGTCCATGGCCTCCTGGGCTTCCCCCTCTTTATGGTGTGATTTATTCATGCACTTTCTTTTTTATACTTAGATTGCAATTTACAGCTACATTTCTCAACTTTCCTCTTCCTAATTCCTAACTTGTAGACATGGCAACTTATAGTAGCCATCATTGATATTTGCCATATTCAGGTTGTAGAATTCCTTGTTAATGTTTGAATAACATTTTTATAAAATTTTTGTTTTTTTTTTTTTTTTTTTTTTTTTTTTTTTTTTTTTTTTTTGCATTTAGGCGGAAACATTGGTGATTTGGGACTGAATTCTGCTCTGGCATGGCTTCGAGATAGTGGGAACCTGGGGGTGCAACCATTGAATTTTCAGGGAATCGGAGTTTCGCCTTATAATAATTCATCACTTGGACTGAAGCCTGATATTTACCAGGCTACGACTGTAGAGGCTATTCAAGATATGAGGCCCATTGAGCCCTTGAAACAGGTTCCTACCAGCATTCAGTTTCAGCATACTCCGAGCATCATTAACAGACCCAACAATTTACAATCAAATCAAGCTCTGCAGCAGCCTCAGTCACAACAACCTTTTGTTCAAAATTCTCAAGAAAACCATGGCCACAACCATACCCCATCAGGCTTTTTTCACCAGCAAGTGCAGCAATGCCAATCATTTGGTGATCAACAGCAGCAGTTAAAACAAATCCAACAGAATCCTCACGTCCAGAGGCAGCAACAGCAACAGCAGAAACAATTTTATGATCAGCTAATTTCTGGTATTATGCTGGGCCAGACGATGCAGCCATCAGTATCTCAATCCCAGTCTCCAACATTACAAAAAATTTCTTCAATTTCACAACCTCCGAGCTTTCCTGATTCCAACGGCAACTATGTCTCCACATCTGTGACATCATCACTGAACGGTTTCTTGCAGCCATTTTCATACGAAGAATCATCAAACCTTCTTAGTTCCCCGATGACTAGCCCATGGTTGTCTAAACAAACTGCACTTGACCCATTACTGCCATCAGGAGTTCAATGTGTTCTGCCGCAGGTGGACCAGTTTAGTTCTCTTTTTCCTGATATTTCGCGAGATACTACGATGCTAGCACCATTTCCAGGTAGAGAATGCTCCAATAACCATGGTGTAGATCCCCAACACCTCCTTTTTGGTGCAAATTTGGAACTTTCACCACTATTGGTGCAGAATGGAGTGCCTGGACTTAGGAGTATAGGATGTGAGTCTAATACAGCTAGAGTGTCCCATGCTGCAACTAACTTTTTGAGCACAAATGAAGTGGATTTCCAACTAAATCAAGCACTTACCAGTTCTGGTGGGTTAGAGGAGTCAGGACTTTTGCACTCTCCGGATAACAATGGCCAGGAGATTTCACAAAATGGAACCTATGTGAAGGTGAAGTACTCCCCGATGTTTTGTTTTGTCCACTTATCCTTCTTCCATTGTGCTTCTTGATGTGAAGCTGGATCTTTTTATTGCATCCATTAATTATCTGATGCTTTTAACGTTTATTGATTTCTAGTACCTGCACATTTACATGGTTTATGCAAATATAGCCATTTCAATGTGATAGGCTTTATTATATTACTATTTTCAGTAAAATAATCACCATTTTCTGTCAACTTATGTTTTTTTCGTTTTATGTAAGAATGTAACGCTTTTCTGAGGGAATTAAAGCTTTCTATTTGTATCCATGGTACAGTAACAATTGATTTACGATTGAGGAGTTGAGAAGGGTACAGTAACGATTGAGGATGTTTGTCAGAGAGACCTTGTAATCTCTCTCTCTTAGTTTGTATCACACCTTTAGCCTCTTGTATTGCGGTTTATCCCCAAATGTAAAATTGACAATCTGAATTGAAAAAAGTATACAAAATGCTTAGGCGTTCTCAAATCTTACACACAAATCTTGGTAGTTTTATTTCAACGGTTTGCAGCACAACAGTACAATACTGTCATTTATAATCACTGAGATGAGAAATATGTGCTGAGGTACTTATTTTCTTAACAAGAAGTTGCTTCAATAATTTGTTATGTACTTTCAATTTTTTTGTTTTTCAGCCATCTAAATTCTTGATAAAAAATTCTTTTCAGAGGGAAAAATTGCATTTTTTTTTGGTACCTTAGTCTAAAGTTTCCGATTCTTGGTTGCTAACGCATTCTGCAATTTGGGTTGGTAGTCTTAGAAAACAATCAAATCTGCAAGCTAGAAAGAGATTCACTGCTCCTATTATGTTTGTTGATATTCCTTAAACTTGTTGGAATGCACTTTCTTTAAAAAATTTGGTCAATTCAAAGTGCTATATCTTCCTTTTTTGTTATAAATTATTCAAATTTCTTGCAATAATTAGTCGTGTTTGTATTGTAGGTTTATAAATCAGGCACCTTTGGAAGGTCACTGGATATCACCAGATACAATAGCTACCCTGAGCTACGAAGTGAGCTTGGGCGCCTTTTTGGGCTTGATTTGGAGGACCCTTTGAGATCAGGCTGGCAGCTTGTATTTGTCGACAGGGAGAATGATGTTCTTCTTGTCGGCGATGATCCCTGGCCGTAAGTTCTTACTGTAGTTTGAAATTCCTTTCCAAGCTTATTTGTTTATTCATTGCTTTTTTCTAAACATAGTTTCACCAAAAGGAAATTATCATGTTGTGTAAATTATAGTTGGGGCCATAAGCTTCTTTTAGTTTTACTTGTGCTCGTTGGTGAGATATTATAAAAGAATGTTATTAAAGAGAAGAAAATGTATAGAAAATAAAAGGCTCGTGATTAGTAAAATACATGATTTTATAAGGGGCAAGGTTAATAATTATTAGTCCATATTATTAGTAGATATGATAATATATAGGTGATTGATATTGTTATCTTGGATCTATTGTACAGTTGATTATGGATATAAAATAGTTGAACTTTTTAATGTTGAAGTTAGATGTGCCTCGGGAGTTCTGATAATGTAATATTATGGTGATTTAAACAAGTTCTAAACTTGCATTTTTTGTTGATTATATTGTATAGATTTGTGTTTTTGTAGTAAACAATTTTCTAATAGTTAAATTGATTATTTTGGTTGTCAATTTGTATATGGTTTAATATATATTATAATATATTTTCTCATTATTTATATTATATTTATGTAGATATGAATGTATGTTGTTTGTTCATGTTTGGGTTACACTATAATAACAAAAAGTTAGACCATCACAATTAATGACTTTCGAAGGTGGTGAAGTTGGAGCATGAACTCGACCTTGAATTGGCCACTTTCCCACATATCTTACTTTTTAATTCTTACTTGTAAACATGAAATCCAGACCGTGGCAACATTGAGTACATTTAGATGGATGCGAGACAAAACTAGAAAATATATTTCTTACCGGTATGTTGATCCCTAGTTGAAGGCAATTTTATCTTTTGAACGCCTTAGTCTTTTATTATTATTGTTGTTAGGTATAAATAGTCTTATTTCGTTTAGGGATGGGTTTATGAATGAGATTGGGTTATGTGTCTTATGTTTAGGGTTTAGGAGAGATTTTCTATCTCTTGAATTATAAGAATTGGGAGAGATTGCTACCTCTCGAATTGTAGATGTTTATCTTTATATTCATATGTTTTATTGTTTTGATTTGATGTTATTGAAGAAAAATATTAATTTGCCCTAATTTTTTGGAAAATCTTGTTTATTTTTGCTTATGATCGTATAATTGGTATCAGAGCTCAAGATACTAGGAATCATATTGATAGAAGAGAGGATCAATCATGCAGCTTAATTTGACCTGAAACTTCCTTCTTTTTCCTCCTACTGATTGTGCGACACTTCTTTCTGATTGAACTTCGTCAGCCAGCCAAGCCAACGATGTGGTTTAAGGGTATACAAATTTTGCCTTTGTGATTGAAAATTTGTTGGGAGTATTGGCAGCCAAGAAGATAGAAAATTTGGAGAAGAATTGGAGGAAGAAACGGGGCAACTTAAATCTTATATGAAGGAAATGTTTACGCCGTTGATTATAGATTTGAGAGCTAGGAGGAGATGACGAGGAAGCTGGAAGCTTATTGAGATGCAATATAAGACCCCATTGGAGGTTCAGTTTGCAGACCTTTTCCAAAGGTTGACCAGAGATAAATCAAAAGGGAAGGAGATCAGATGAGAGAAAAATGAGGAGGAAAAAAACTACATTCGAGAATATCCTCTTAGGGCTTCGATTGGCGGTGGTTTAGAGATTTCGGTCGAAACATGGAAAAGAGATTATGCAAGAGGTATGTAGGATCACAAAGAAGAAAAGAAAGAAGCGGTGAGGGGATTTGACTATGTTCTAAGGAGAGAGTTTTGCACTTGATAGATGGGGTGAAACAACGAAGAGAGAGGAAGTTAGGATGAAGATGTTAGGGTTAGGAAGTTGAAGATATTGATCTTCGAGGGGAAGACACACTCGAGGTGTATCAGGCTGAGCGATATTTTGCGGTGAATTGGCTAGTTGTGGAGAAGAAACTCATGGTGGTATGCTTATGTTTGGAGAGGAAAGTTCAAGTCTGGTTTAAGTGGAGGGTGGCTAGATACTAGATCCGTTCGTGGGAGGAATATAAGGATTGATTGTTTGAACGTTTCCGAGTCATTTAAGAAGTAGATTTACACGAATACTTTTATGCCTTCTCTCAGGATATGATTATCATGGAATATAGGGAGAGATTCGAGCTATTGAGATTTTTGAAGCAGGTGTGCAGAGGAATCTCAAGAAGGGCCTAAAACTCATCATACGGGCAACACTTAGACTCTTGAGACCGAGGGAGTTGAGGGAGACGATGATGCTAGCCCAAATGGTGGAGGACAAAAACCAGAAGAAGAAGGCTAGTTGGAGCAACACAGATGGAGTGTCGTACCAAACTGCTACCACCACGACAATACCAAAAACTCAAATAGTGAAAGTCCAGAGGGATGATGCATGGGACAGGAATATTGGGTCACAACCGAGAGCGACACAAGCGCCTTACAGAGACAGATTTTGTACAAGAGTGCCAAGAGATCCCCTTTGACTAGGAAAATCAGAATAAAAATGATAGAACTCCCTACTCATTATTCGAAGGTGAATCATAAAACACTAAAAGTTGTGGTATTTTATGGACCTCACATAGGTCACATCCCTCATGACATCGGCTTGAGTGATCCAAAACATATAAGAAAAGATCGGTGTAGTCGCTCATTGGGATATATCTATCCGAATTATGTTTTCGGTGTGATGAGAAGTTTACCTCAGGACACCGTTGCAAGGATCGAAAATTACAAGTTCTTATGGGGCATGACAAGGAGCAGAGGATGAAGAAATAGAGACATTTGTGCTAGAGCAAGTGGAAAATTCTCACTTCTTTCCACCTTGAGGACAATGTCGTTTGTGGGTGGGGGAGTGTTGTTCATTGGTGCCTAGCCTAAGGGCAATTTTTTGTCTTTTGTACGCCTAGAAATAATTTAGTCTTGTTGTATATAAATAGGCTTATTGTGTTTAGGATTATATTTGTGCATGAAATTGAGTTGCGAGTCTTAGATTTTGGAATTTGGAGAGATTTCCTACCTATCAAATCGCAGGAATTGGGAAACATTGCCTCTCGAATTGTAGGTGCTTATCTTTTATATTTGTGTTGTATTGTTTTGATTTGATGTTATTAAAGAACAATATTGATTTGCCCTATTTTTTCTGGAAAATTGTTCTGATTCTGCCTCGAATCGAATAACTTACTTCATATGTACAAACTGACTGAGTGTGACAAAAATGAGAGTAATTATATGCATGTGTCAAAACTAGAAAGGGTCAACTGAATGATGATATCAAAGGAATGATGGCAGTAATATCTATTGAGAGCATATAGTTAAAGCAAAATTTGAATATTCACAGTGAAAATAAAAGAGGAAAATATATATATATATATATATATATATATATATATATATATACATATATATATATATATGTCGTTCAATTAGAAGTAATGAGGTTGACTTGCTTGACAAGCATAAAATAGGTTTAACACTTCAAGCAATCCTCAACTTGGACCACTTCTGTTTGTGTTGACTGGCTAGGAAAAAAATAAAGTACGATTTTACCTGCATCCCACTTTGCCTATGATTAAAAAGGTGTATTTCACTTTTTTAAACTTAAAATGGTGGCATTTTTAATGTGATATCTGTAAAATTTGGGTGGTATAAATGTAAAAAAGCAAAATTTAGGTGATCAATGTGAATGCATAGGAATTGTGTGGTATGTATGCAAATGCCCCTAAAATAAAATAAAAAGAGGGGCTCCAATCTCGCTTGTTTAAAATTGCATGCTCATCTTTAACCAGGTTTGTTTGGATTGTTTTCTCAGGGAGTTTGTGAACAATGTGTGGTGCATCAAGATACTCTCCCTACAGGAAGTGCAGCAAATGTCAAAGCAAGGTGTTAACCTCATAAACTCTGCGCCGCTGAGAAGGCTTTCTACTGGAAGCTGCGACAACTACATTGCTCAGCAAGAATCTAGAAATCTGAGCTCCGAGATAATGCCCGTGGGCTCTCTGGACTATTGAGCCTTGCTATTTCTCTTTAAACCTTTGTTGTGTTTTCATTATCCTCTGTGTTTATGAGGCGAGGCTGAAGACATCGTAAGTTATGTTTGTGTATCTCCAATAACTGTATTGTATCTTCAGAAGACTCCCCTTTTGTATACTTTTAAGACTTGATTTATCTAATTTACTTATGGTAACTGTCTTTAATCCATTGCTTCTATTTTGGGGAGAGCAATTTATCAGAGAGAATTCTGATAGAATTTGGTGATGTCAGACGATGGTGCTGATATCAACATCTTCTATGTCCAACATGTGTATGCCAGGCAAATGTTTGATGTGTCCCAACCCTGATCTCTTGTTGATTGTGCTCGCCATGCTCGTTCCAAATTCATCGTTCGCACCAGTAGATTAAGTCAACATTTGTGCATAATTGGCATTTCTCATTAGTCATTTTGCTGTTTGCTTGTGTCTTATGATGCTCATTTATTAGCTGTGTTCCATGGTTATGCTTATCATGGCTGGAATTTAAATATAATTTTAAGTTGGTTCCTCCATGATTTCTTCTTCATAGCATCATGGTGTTTCCTTATCTCTTTTTTACTCAAATTTCTTTCTGTAATTGGTACAATAACAAATAAATTTTAATTATAAGGCTGGAGTTAAAGATGTGAGCTTTGGTTTAAAATATTATCAACCTAGTTCTAATATTAAACATATATATATATATATATATATATATAAGCAAAATTTTAATAGTTGATACTTAGCATTTCTTATATCTTTGTTATATCTTGTAGGAAATTAACTTCAATTTATAACAATATTATGACCCCTTTGACGTAGAACCATTTTATAGTTCATTAAAACTATTTGTACCACCCAAAGTTTAGGCGTTTTTTTCTTTCCTTACCATTTTATGGTCATAATCCTCAGGATTCTCTAGGACTTAAGGTGGCCCTAATATATGGGAGAGCCCATCCATCTATATAAATTATATCAACAATAGAGCACTTAGGATGGCCAAGTAGGTTAAACCCATACTCATGAGTAAATTCACCTAAACTGAAAACCAAACTTAGCTTAATAAATGTTTGTTGACCAAGTTAGTCTTCCAGGGTCTAGCAGAGCTATTATGACTATTTGGTTCAAATATATTGACCGAAGTTTGAACATGATATGGCCCACATAGCTTAATTAGAACTTTGTGTTAGCTTGGTTAGGATTGGGTAAAGTGGGAGCAAACCTAGTTAGCAAAAGTCTTGTTGAGTTGACTAGCAGAGCAATAAAGTTATTATCATTGTAACTGTTCTGGAGTTTAGCATGCATCTATAATATTTTGTTCAAGAGTGCATTGAGTAGCTCCAAATATAACATAAATGAAAGACTATTGGTAGATTGACTCGAGAAATATTTATTGAAATATGATTTTAATAATGAAAGTTACTTTTCTTTGTTAGCTTTCCCTTATAGTTGTGTATAGTTTTTTTTTCCTATAATTTTCACCCATTTTCATTTAATTTATCAAGGGTTGTTAATTTTTCTTTTAATCGCTTGATAATTTAATTTTCTTTTTGTTCATTGTTCCCGACTTTTAAGTAACTCATTTATTCTTGAATTTATATCCAACAACAATTGCTCATAATTGGGCTATGATAAGACATGTTACTTAAGTGACTTTCTTATCAAATATTTTATAGTTTTCAATAGTTGAATTTAATCATGCTATAAAATTTATGGGTGATGTCCCAAAAAATTAGCCCGCCCATGTTATGGTGGGCTAGGTCATTCTGTGCTACTTTTTTAGAAAAATCTTGCATTACTAGGTTTAAGTGATTATTCATTTTACTTATTGATACCCAAAATACTGTAAGGCACGGAATATCATGCAAATATATATGTTGATCAAGTAGTATATGGATTATGTGTTTGATTTATCGATCTCGCAAGAACTGGTTAATTTCTCAAATTCTCTAATTACTAGTTTATTAACCCCAAATTTAGTTTAAAATGTTTGAATGTTTATTAAAGGTCCTCTAAAAATCCTAGATTTTAAAAAATTATTGTTGGTATCAACTTTTGATGTCGCACATATAGGATGTCCACTTGAATGTTGTGGGATCTTTTTCTTTCATACATAGCTTCTCATAGCTAAAAGCATTCACTGAGTTCTCTGGTGCATGTTTAGAGCGCGAAACCAAGGTCTGACTGTCAATTTAAATGTAATGGAACCATATTCCACTATTACATAGCTTGTTATAGTTCAAGATATCATTAAAATTCTCTAGCGTCCATTTAAGAGCATAGAACCAGAGTCTGAACCAACGCACCTACACCAAAAACTGGGGTGTTGGTTGGCATTTATTTTTAATATGGAACATTTTATGTTCATTTTAATGTTTAAGGATTGTTTTTAATTCATAAATAACCTCCCATGGTCCTAGGGATCTATAAAACCCTTCAACAGACGTTTTGGGAATGATATCAGGGTTTAAGTCGGTGCAACCATGCCCAAAAGTAGTTACCGTCATTTGACATTAATTTTCATATAGAACAATTTGATGTCCATTTTAATATTTGAGGTTCATATTTAATTTATAAATAACATGCCATGGTTCTAATGATCCATAAAACTCTTCAGCAGGCGTTTTAGGCATGATACCGAGTTTAAGTTGGTGTAGTCGTGCCCAAAAGTAGTGACTGTCGGTCGGCATTGATTTTTGAGATGGAACTTTTTTATTTCCATTTTAATATTTGAGGATATATTTCTTTCATAAATAAACTCTCATGTTCCCAGGTATTCATAAAACTCTTCCTCAAACATTTTCACGAAAATTGGGTCTACCAGGCCAGATTGAAGCCAGTATTTTGCTTGATTTCGAGTTTTGTGGCCATTTTGGATTTTTTTTTTAATTATGAAATTCTTATAGAAAGATGGGGGGTGGTTCCACAAAATTTTTTAGCCCCCATGAAATTTCTTTTGATCCCCCAACTAAAAAAATAGTCAATCGCATGAATTTTATGGAGACTAAAGTCCAAATTTCTATACATGAAAAAAGAGGGTTGAGCATTGGAAAGCATTTTGACTCCTTTCTTCTTTAGTTTTATGGCCATTTTAACTTTAGGGGGGGATTTTAAAAAAAAGGGATGATTGTAGACATTGTGGGTGGAGATCCTTGGAGAGTTTTTTTAGATAAAAAGGAGAGGAAAAAGTTTTTCCTTCATTTTCTCCCTTCTCTTCTTGATTTTATTCTTTTTCTTCCTCTTTTCTCTCATATTTCTCAACTCTCTCTCTCCTCATCATCTTCTTCTTCTTCCACTTCATATTCCTTAAGGTGAGAGTTCATGGAGTTTCCTTGGAGGGAATTCTACATCTTTGCATAATTAGGAGTTCAGACAAGCAAAGAGCACACTACAAAAAAAATCACTGTGGTAAGTTATTATTCCTAGTGTTCTTCCTTTTTCTTAGAAAAATCCTTCTAAGATGATGTTAGAGTTATCATATTAAATTGATTTTAGAGAAAGTCCTTTAGGTTCATATTGTTTTATATTATTTTTACTTAAGATCCTAGACTAATTTTTCCAAAAACCATTTACCTTGACCTATATATTTCAGATTATAGCAATCTTGCATTTGTTGGGATGATTCCATCATTTGATGAAATGATGGAACTTTTGAACCAAGGAAATGTAAAAGGCCCTTTGATTTTTCATTCTCTACGTCACGGAGTTTTAATTCATGAAAAGCTTCTCACACTTAAGTCACACAAATAAAGGTGGACATATTATTTTCATAAGAAATAATGTGTTTTTACACCTCACCGTCATTACAACCCAACCGCATTAGAGGTCTTTCAGGTGGATTAATTTGCCATCAAGTAGGATTTAGGGTTTCATGTTCGATTAAGCATATTTACATATCACGTGCATGTATGCCATTTAAATATTACATAAAAAATACATTTGAGTTTTTGTTGCTTTTCATCTAGCATGTGCGTGTCTCTTATAAGCATATATGATTTCAAAAGATCATGCAAAAGTGCATTTTTTTAGTGTGCTTTTGTTTGCATTAAACATGTATGAAAAGCATGTTTTATATTTTGCTTGCACTTTAGCACTAAGCATGTTTATGAATATTTTTTGTGTTTTGTTTAGTTTTAACACTTAAAATGTTTTTAAAAACGTGTTTTATAGCGTGCTTATAAATTAATATCAAGCATATGTGAAATTTTTATTTCAAAATATTTTTGTAATGCATATGTAATTTTTTCTTGGCATCTTGCAACTAATTTCACATTGAGTGTATGTCAAAATGCCTTTCTTTTATGTTGTGTGTTCTTACATGTTCGTGGCTAGTGCCTCAACATAAGCATATGTGTCCATATGCCTTTGTTGGATATTGCGCTTGCACTTTTATTGTGCATAAATGAACATATGTTACTAGATACTAGTGCCTCACTTGCGCACTTGTATTTGTATTTCCTTGCATGTCATTGCACATAAAAGCATGTGTACTTGCATTTTTATGCTTGAAATCCTTACATGAGAACATGTCCCCATGTGCTTATGTTGGACCTTTGCATACCATGATGGGTTTGTTTGCCCATACGACCCACCTAAGGTATCACTTCATCTAGTAAGAGTCATACCACTTAGCATTGATGGCATCACCTGAATTCTCTATGACCATTTCATGTCATATCATATAGTGTGAGTCATCTCATATAACACATGACTTCATCTTGCACATCATAACACTTTATATAACATGTGACTTCACCTGTGGATCATACCATCTAACATATGATTCTATTTAGTGTGTCGGGTCACTCCACCTAGTGTATGACTTCACTTTGCATGAGTCATAGCACATAGCATCTATGGAATCACTTAGGATTGTCATAGATATGTAATGGCATGTGAACATAATCATATCCCCTGAAATGATTATGTTCTTCTCTTTCCTTTGTTTGATTTCATGTTTAATAAGCAAATTACAAATATTTCTATATGTCTTTTAATGTGAGTACTTCATCCTAACATAATATTCACATCTAAGATATCATTTTGTGCTAGTTATGATTGCTCACACCTAGCTTGAGCAGTCATATCATGCATGACCACCATTCACTTTCATCATTCTCACATGTAGCACTAGGTGAGTCAGCACCTTGATGACAATCTAACCCTTTGAGATGTGTGACCCAATA